GACAAATTTTTAGGAAGAACTCAAGTTATCACTACTTTCCTACGCATGTAGGGCCATGATGTGTTTCACGTATGCGCATAGCTTCCTACTATTACATTGACAACTGCTTGTGTGGATTGGATTTGTGCAGATGACAAAGACAGAGCATTGGGGGCTGACATGCAAAGTCTACAATAAGCTTGTTAAATGATGATGATAGTGACATGCAGTCAAATTTGAAAACGTATCAGAAAATAAATTAGTGATACCTGAATGAAGACAAGACTAGATTCAATGACAAGTGATCGGCCAAACAAAGGTCACAACGACCTCCAAATTTATAAAATATTATGAATCTCAAATAACATAAGAAGTTTATCAGATAGACACAATCATGCAGCTTTATTAATTTGAGCACCTTGTAGATTTTTAAAAACTAATCATTAAATGTATCCTTTTTCATTTTTGACATTCCAAAAATGGTTTCAAATTGTATCTGCACTAAAATGCATAACACGGAATGGAAATCATTTTTATCAATAATTATGTGAAGTAAATTAATATAAGTTCACAACAATGTTAATCAACGCCTACATGTACTGGTACACTCGAACTGAACTGATTGAAAAAATACATGTACAAGCTCAGTACTCTCAATATTGTCATCAAACTAAATGCAAAGTACATCAAGTAAATAAGGGTTCAACAAACTTAACCACCTAAGTGGTTTATTTTGTACGGGCAAGTCAAAATAAAGTCAAAGAATGTCCAACTTTTAACCACTGGAAACCAGCCAGCAAAACAGGGCTTGAACTTCATAGTAAAGAGAGTGCTCATTTTCAAAGGCAAAATTGATAAAATTGCCTCACCATTCTAGGAATAATATAGGAAATATAGGGTATCGAGGCAAACTTATTGAGCATCTAACAATAGCTTTCTAGGCTTCATTGAAGTTCAAGCCCTGGCAAGATGGTTTCCTATAGCAATGAATTAAAGACTTTATTACTGATAAAATGTTAACATATATATAATAATGACATCAACAGACATCTATTCTATCCCCATCATTTGCATATTATGAGCACAGTGAGAAGTGATTGAGTATGGAATACAACTTACAAGTCAGTAATAAAGAAGAAAGCCATGATACAAGCAGATTGGCCAGACCAGGCCGTGCATGTTCTGATTGCTTTACAATAAGGTAATACACAGTCAAGAACACAATAAGTAGCTGAAAATTGTGCAGTGAGTCTTTTATAGTTGTTACAAAGGAGATCAAAGGGAGAAATGAAGCAGCAAAATAACAAGAAAATTAAACTCGACTCTTGGTAACTAATCCATCTCTCAATATCATTCTCATGAGTGAGGATACTAGAGTCCGAAGTGGAAAATGGAAAAAAATTGCATTTTTACATGAGATGACTTATTCATATCTCAAAATTTAGAACATTGACATGTGATGAAAAAGTCATATGTTGATATGAATACTAATATTGTAAAAATGTTTTAAAGTTTAAAGTTTCCAGAGCAGTAATAGCTTTCCATGATATACAATGGAAGGTTATATCCCATAATGCATTGCATATATGTGCAATAACATGCTCAGTAGTGCAAAATTTTGATTCAGCTCAAACTAACTTAAAATGAATTATCTGGAATCAAACTTATATTTTATAAACATTATTTTAATTAACAATAACAATTAGTCAAGGTATTTTTGGATAACTTAGCATCCGTAACAATAACTGAGTAGGAGATAATGTCAATAGAAGGCCACCTTTAAAAGGATCATGCATTTGTTTTTTCAATCTCAAGTGTTGTTTTTGTTTGTTTTGGGTTTTCTTGGTGGGTGCTTGAACTTCAGAGGCATAAAAGTCAATCGCCTTGAAAATGGGTGAAAACTGCATGATGAGGATATTGCATTTAAACTTGAACACGCATTGAATTGGATGACATAAACTCAAATGGAGAGATATCAGACTATGTTTTAACTATGTAGAGACTGCAATGATGACACATGGACAATCCTTATTCAACATAGTCAAGATGGCAGCTGTTCTGTGGCTATGAATAGGACTTGACAATAAATTATAAATAGCCAACTGACCTCCATCAAATAAAAATTATATTAACAAGCACAGACCATAACGAAGAAATCAATATGTCACACGAGCTGACCAGTAATAAAAGTACTGACAAAATATATCGGCAGAGAATGCAATTTCTCATTCGTCCGCCATTAGTTTAAATTACATCAATTAAATAACCTAAAACAAATTTAATAATATTTTTCATACAAAATATTCCAGAAAACACATTAAAAATGTGAAAAATATTGTGAAAAAGTAGCAGGCAAAATTATGGTGCTAAAAAAATTAATACTCAATTAATTCGAGCACAAATGTATCCTTTTAATTTGAGAATTCAATACAAAGTGAACTCAAATGATGTAAATGTAGTACTGAACAATGGATATAGATCGTAACATTTCCTCAGTGAATGCAAATCGAAAGTACCTATTTTTTTTTGAATGCTTGTCTTGGGTGTAACTTGGATGTCACAACATAATTTTTTTGACCAATTTGTGTACTGTCTGTGAAGACCCATAAATAATTTTTATTTGTATTTTATTAATTCATGCTTTTTATTTTTACTAATTTTAGTTTTAATTTTTTATGGTAAAAAAGTGGAAATTAGTGGAATAGTTTTTGGCCCTCTTCTGACTGATACTTACATAATTGTAAGGACTAATAAACATATAACATATAAATCAGTCTTTTTCATAATTATTACAATTAATGATTAATTTAACAGGGAAACTTCCCAAAAAATATTACTTTTCATTGACTGAAGACAATGAAATTAACTATTGCAGTAACATGTATATTTTCCCAATATTTAAACAGCAAGGTGGATAGTTTTATTCTCTGTCAAGTAAAGGGTAACAGATCGAAGGACAAAAAATTGGACTGCTAACCCAACCCGATAAATAAATCCTAAATCTGTTTATATGATTTATATATCAATATGCATTATTGGCAGGCTGTAATCGCACAATAAAGACCAGAAACATTTGCCAAGGTTTCGCGCATAATTAGAGTTTTAAAACAAGAACAAGAAAGTGGTAGACCATGCTTGATTCACTTTCCGCAAAATTTTAAAGTCTGTCAAATAGACTTATATATTTTCTGAGTATTAACATCTGCACGGATTGTGAAAAAAAACAATTTTAAATATTTCATTATGCATATCATGCTTATTTGTATAATAAACTTTTAACTTAATTCCAAATGTGTGTGACAAACTAAGAAAGGAAACTGCTCACCAGAAAGCAGTCCCACATCAGGAAACATACCTACATGTCATTTTAGAAAAATGGGTCAAAGTCTTAAGTTAGCAGCATGGGAAAAACAAGCTAAGAATTAATTTGATACAGAAATTCTCTAAAAGATGATACAACCTACTTATTCTCTGAAAGCTTAGATATAGATGAATATGGTAGTGCATATACACATTCCATGTGAAAACAAAGTTCAGTGTATGTACTACTGTATTCGCCTATAGGTAAGCCTTCAGTAGATTTTGTCCCAGTTTCTTGCTGCTCAGTTACTACTCTGTGTGGCGCTAGGAGACTGGAGAATTTGTGTCCCTGTATATATCATACACGTCCACTAACTGAGTTTTAATTTTGGATATTTCCAAAGGGATGCACACTTAGTCAAATGTGACAGAAATCCTTTGATTGTGTAGTCGAGCATGGACACTAAGTCAGACAAAAACGGTAATAGCAAATACCATGGAAAGCAATATAACAAACAGGAACGGCAACTATATACACAAGGGACAGAAACTGGAAATTGAGTAATGTCTGAACGCCTGAAACAAGAGAAATTAATACCCCACCATTACCACCTTAATTTGGATGAAAAGCAAAAGTGTAAGTTACATACAGGGTAGCAAAAAAGACACATTTTAGGTTACAGATAATGACAAATAATTCACATACCAGTGATTCTTGATCAATGTCTCCTGCAGGAGCAAACATTGTCTGTACCATAAACTTGTGTTTATTCTTCTCATTGGGATCATATTCAAAAGGTTGTAGCATTACTGTAATAGAGAGTGCAATGAGTAGTCTTAAGGTAGCAGGATAGTTTTTTTGCATGAAAAATGTAAACACCTATAATCGGAATAAATTTTACAAGAAACCATACAATCTATATATGTTTGGAAAGCTCTTGACTTGTATTTTCCTATTATTAATATTTTGTGAACATTGTGTTTGTTTTAGCGTCACGTGATTCTGAAAATCAGCGGGGCTGATAATTTAACTAACGTGAATAAAATTGTAATTGTCATCTCTACAGTCATTCATGCGATCAAAAACTTTACACTGTTTTGAAGCAAAGGATATGAAGTTTAAATCCGTATTTCTATTTTTTGTATTAAGTTTTTTTTTTTCTTTCTGAAAATCACAAATTTCC